AAACATACACACACACGCACACACACACACGCACACAGACACATACACACATATTTATATATAATACATTGTTGTTTCGTATCTTAGATGTCATAATAATCTAAACTCAAGCAAAACCTGAAACCAAACTACTTGGCCCCCCAGAAATCACCACCATCAATTGACATACAGATTTTCCTCCTGATCGTACACAGGCACATTTCTGTACGCTTGCTGGTTATTAGAAGAGGACCCGCTAACAGGCACAGGAATATTTAAGCTCAGGTTATTGTTGTTGTTGTTGTTGTAGTTGCTGTTGTTGTTGTTGTTGTAGTTGCTGTTGCTGTGGTTGTTGCTGTAGTTGTTGCTGTTGTTGTTGTAATTATGATTTGTTTGGGACGACCCATTTCCGTACCTATAATTTTCAGTACCGTATGTTGGGGCAGCGGCTGCAGCAATGGCGCTATTTGGTTGATAGGTTTCCTGCACGTTGGAACCTGTGGAATCTCTGTTGAAATAATGGGCCGAATTCCGGATTTTCCCGAAAACGTTCCGAAAGAGGGCGTTGGAAGCAGATGCAAACTTTTGGTACGTCCTTGGGGGTCGTCTCGGAGGTGGGGGTGAGGGGCTTTCCTTGTCTGACGTCACAGTCAAGGTCGGGATGCCCAGAGAGTCGCAGTTTCCGTACGGGTTTTCGGGGGCAGGTGAATAGACATGTAAATCGCAATATTTGGGATTTTATTTGGTTTTGGTTTTAAAAATTTGGATTCATTGAATAAGTATTTTTTATTATCTCTTTTTTTTCTACAGAGGAAAGTTCACTGGCATTTGTGGTGTAGCGGTTGGGCGTTTCACTGTCTTACACATGAGACTCGAGTTCGATTTCCGAGTGTGAAGAAACTTTTCTTTATTGAGTATCCATCGGTCTTTTTGCTGCGATGTTGTATCCCTGTATGTCATGGGTTAGCCCTGACAGGCATGGTCAGAAACCTGCTTCCAGAGTGATCTAAACTGCGTTGATAGGGCGAAAAAACCCATCCAATTTACATTTTAAAAATTGTGTTTAAAGTGGAAGGTTTATGTCTCATTCCTTCTCTTCAACAGGCGAGAGAAAGAGTATCAGAGCACTGACCCCCCCCCCCCCCCTTCATATATATCATATTATTTCCTAAATCAAAGAACTTTCCTACAACCAGTTGCTACCGTATTTACGAGACGTTAAAGAAATGTAAATCATGTGAAAACGATATCAGTTAAACTAAGAAAGAAAGAAATAAACAAACAAACCAACCAATCAAACCAAAACAACAATAATAACAAAACCCCGTCTTTATGAAACGATTTATGTTTCTACTTGAGGGTTGTGAACTAACTGCTCTCTCTCTCTCTCTCTCTCTCTCTCTCTCTCTCTCTCTCTCTCTCTCTCTCTCTCTCTCTCTCCCTCGCCCCTCCCCCCCCAACCTCTCCCTCTTTCCCCACCCCTACCTCTACAGCCTATCCCCTCTCCCAAAATTGACCTTTCATTTACCTAAACTTATGAACCAACCACTCTTGTCGCAATTAGTGCCGAAACATCTTGGAGGAGGATTTTTCAAGTCTCAGGACACCCACAGGATTATTGTTCATGTTTATATCGACTATTTCAATAAAGAGGAACCTAAGAAATCTGTCACACTCACGCTTCAGCCAAAAATGAAGGGACGCTAATCTGTATGATCTGTTTTTGCGTGACTGAATTATATAAGTTATGTCCCTTTATCCAGACCCACTTTTAGCAGACTGCAACTCCTCGGATTTAACTCATTTATTATCAATCCTGAAAAGTTTCGAATTCAGAGCACTATTTACAGCAATAATAAGCAAAATGCACATTCACAAAGACAGTGAGAGGAAGTAAACAATCGTGTGTAAGTGATAGAGAGAGAGGAGGAGAGAGGTAAAGCGGGAGGGAGAGAGATAAAGAGGGAGAGAGAGAGATAAAGAGGGAGAGAGAGAGAGAGAGAGAGGGAAAAAGAGAGAGAGAGAGAGAGAGAGAGAGAGAGAGAGAGAGAGAGAGAGAGAGAGAGAGAGAGAGAGGGATGGAGAAAGAGAGAGAAAGAGGAAGAGGGAGGGAAAGAGAAAGAGAGAGAGTATATACAGATATATATAGAAAGAGAAACAGCGAATGATATTAGGTAAATAGAGATTTAATACGCAAGGAGAGACACAGACATAGCCACAGACAGACAGACAGACACACACACACACACACACACACACACACACACACACACACACACACACACTCACACACACACACACACACACACACACACTCATATACAACGAGACAGAGAGAAAGATAGATAGATAGATATATCGACAGACAGACGCGAAGACAGACGAAAAGACAAACAAAGAGCTGAATTCAACTCACTCTAGAACATCAAACTCGGAGCCCCAGCTATAGACACTGTCGGCCACTTTCCCTCTGCCTGGAACAGCGAGGTTGTTCTGTGCCGTTAGAGGTGGGTTATCCCACCTGACGTACTCTCTCTCACCACTTGGCGGTTCAGCAACAACGGAAGAAGGAGAACCTGGGTTGTCGGTTTTGACTTGAGACTTTCTCCTGAAAGTTAAGATAAGACATAGACTGGGTTTATCCTGAGGATACACACGAAAACCTTCTTGCTCTTTTGTCATCATCATTGTCATCGAGGTTGTTGTCGTTGTCAACGTCAGTGTTAACCTGTTCCACATCGTCCTCGTTCTCATCGTCTTCCTTCCTCTTTTCGTCTTTCTCATCGTCGACCTCCTCCTCCTCCTCCTCCTCCTTTTCCTCCTCCTCCTCCCCCTCCTCCTCCTCCTACTCCTCCCCCTTCAAGTGAAATAACACCCTTTAAAGCACAAAGAACACCACCAACTATCATGCTAAAACATGAAAAAACAGCAGCAACAGCAACAACGATAAGAGTAACAACAAAACCAACGACAACGATGAAAAGAACACTGACAACAGCAACAATAAACAAAACCCATACGTTTATATCTTTGCTTGACTTAATGCTACGACAAACACGTCATGCTCTTATTACGACATCACTGCAACACTCTGTGTACTTCTCCCACCATAAAGTTCCCCCAAAATAGGAAAAGTAAAAGAGTTCCCCCCAAAATAAGAAAAGTAAAAGTTGAGAACACGGAAGAACGAAGAAGGCGAATGAGATTGCTAGAGCGAAAAGAATAAAGGAAACAGAGAACAAGAGGAAAAAGGTTCTTTTCGCAGGTGTATGTGTGTGTGTGTGTGTGTGCGTGTGTGTGTGTCTGTCTGTGTGTGTGTGTGTGTGTGTGTGTGTGTGTGTGTGTGTGTGTGTGTGTGTGTGTGTGTGCGGGGGGGTGTATGCCAATTACAAGTGTGCTTATGTGTGAATAAATGTGTACATGTGTGTTCATAAAATGATATAGATTATAAAGCCCATAGAGCTTGCTGTATTTGTGTGTGTTCGAAAAAGAAAAAGCGAGAAAGGCAAAGATACTGGTGAAGAGGGAAAAGTAAGAGCTGTACGAAACTCTGGTAAACTCAAATAATTACCTCTTCCTTTCTGTCTTTACCACACTCTTCACCAAGAACAATAGTCCAGACACCAGCAGTATGGAACCAATACCAGAACCGCATCCGATGGCCACCCACTGCCATAGTTTATGTTGACTCTCCTCTTCCACTTCTTGGCCATTTCCATCTCCTGGTTGACTCGTCCATCTACCAGCTATAGGATCAGGTGTCGGGGGCGTTATGAAAGTCTTCCTGTAAGAGTCTGTTAATTTTCTTGAATTTCTTACCTTCATGGGGGGATATGTTGTGTGATAAATGACTCTATCATAATGCCTTGATTCTGAAGTTGGTAACTGTGTTCGAGTATCGGTTGGATTGTTACGATTGCGTATCGGTAGTCTTCTTTTGGAGGGCCGAGGTCTGTGATCTTGTCCTGGAGAAGATGTTCTCCTTTCTTGTCTAATGGAAGGGGACTTCGTCGAGTAGACGAACTTAGAAGGAGCGCGCTGAGAGCTAGATAAACTACCGTTTTCGCTATTGGAACTAGGGGGCAGTTCAGTCGTCTTTAAATTTCTCGTCTTGGAACCCTCATTCTGGGAACTTTCGCGACGTGGTGAAGAATGCGCATTTTCTCTTGATGTCGCCTGTTTCGAAAGTTGTTCTGAAGTATTAGTTCGGAGACGCCCAATTCTTTCAAGCTCTTCATCGCCGTTTGAAATTGTTGTAACTGGAACATGAGCGTTAACGGTTCCACGCTTCAGCTGACAGCTAAGAAAAACGTGGTATTTCTGACCAGGATCTAGATAATTCAGTACAAAGTGACCTTCAGACTGATCTTCTACTATGTGCTGGGAGATAAAATTGTCTTTGTTTTCAGTGGGAGAAATAAATATGTGGCAGACAATGGGCTTCACACCTTCCGGCAACACCCATGTAACGTCCACTGAAGTTGGCGAATTTGATTGAGCGTTTATACCTGTGAAAGAGAAAGGGTAACAGTCAATACCTAAAAAAATGTCGCTAACAAAACTGAAGCGTCGTGGACGGGAGATCTATTTTAAGTTTTAAATAATGTTTTGCTTCTCTCAGTTGCAATATTAAAGATATTCTATTTTTTTAAATGCCATGCTTGAATACTATTATAATGTTTAACTAGCTTTCTATTACGAAAGAGAACAAACTTAGCTCTCCCAAGTATAACAGACAATAAAAATAATGATAATAATACTAATAATAAATAGCATATTATTATTTAGTATTGCGCACATCCCCGCGCTTTACAGTATAAGGTCACCCCAGTAGACCCTGAACACACAGAAACATTAACTTCCCGGGAAGCAAAGGCCTACGGTGCAAACACCTAATCAATCGCTCAAACACCAAAAACAAAACAAAACAAAACAAAAAGATACCAACAAAAAACTGGCAAGATCTTTCGCTGTCTATACCCGGGTACCCATTTCTACCTGGGTGAAATGGAGAAAATTCGTGTAAAATGTCTTTTCCAAGGACACAACGTTCCAGCCCCAGACGGGATTCGAACCCATGACCTTGTGGTTTCAAGTCTGAGAGCCTAACTACTAAGCCATCGATGCCACGGATCTTTCCAATATATTGTTTTTAATTTAAAAGACATTCTAGGTGCACACAATGAGGTTTTTGTCATTACTGTATCATTTATTGTTCTCACGCCCATCCTTCTCATGCAAATACAACAGAAAACATATCAACGGAAGCGGACCTGAATCACTCAAAATGATGTACTTCTGATGATGGACACATTTCGAATTGTTGGCACAAGGTAATGAGACATTCTACGTTTTATTTTTTTACTTATCATGAGCCTTGAACTTATCAAATTTTTAATGTTAATTAATTTTATTTTTTAAATTTTATTTGGGGGGGGGGGAGGAGAGGAAACTGCTAGTTCTGTCTCTTTCAACCTGAACCACGGCTGTGAGTCACATTATGTCTCCTGTAGGCGAAAGAGATCTATTTTAAAGCTTTTAGTAGCAGTTTTACAGCACTTGTAACACATTAAGGTCATATAAGTCCAGAACATTAAAGGTGTTACAAGAGGTTAACAAACATAAAAAAGAAGGGAAGGGAGATAAAGACGATAAATGTTTGATTGGAAAGAATGTGCAGGCCACACCAGAGCACCTGTCAACCACCCACCGAAAGAAATGCAGGAAAAGGATGATAATATAGGATAAAATAGGCAGCAGGGCGACTAAATTACAAAAAGTAAAATTAAATAACGCAACCCCCCCACCCCAACCCCCCACGCGCGCGCAAGCACACACACACACACACACATACACACACACATACACACACACATACACAGACACACACACACACACACACGCACACACACACACACACACACACACACACAAACGCACGCACGCACGCACGCACGCAACCGGATTAGCAATATATAAGTAAGGCTAAGAAGAGACAAAAGTATCTTCAGAGGCTGCCATTAGTGCCTACGGCTGTAAGCTTTAATTACTGTACTACGCACTGTCAGCAGCAACAAAACCAACATTAAAACAACACTAAGAGCGGTCATACAAACAACATCATGGACAGAGCTAATAGAAAATCTCTCAAAGAAAACAAACAAAACAACTTAAAAAATACTGACTTGGAAATACAAAGTTAGAACCGCCCATCCAGGGGGGGACCATTGACTATAAGAAATACATATTGGCTCTGTGATTTTGATTTGTTTCTTGCTGAGGATGATCATAAATGTGATCGTCCAGAATGAAATGCTGTATATCACACGTTGCCAACATTGAGAATCTTTTGGAGGCAAGATTCTTCGTCCCTGGCTATGTGGGAGGTACCAACACAACGACAGAAGCTTGATAAAATACGTCCTCTTCTCCTTCACTCAAGGCACAGAGTTCTTGACCAGAAGGGAAAGAAGAATGAACATAAAGACGTAACATGAGCACTATTTTCTAATTATTTTTCTTCAAATTAAACCGTAGTGTACTGTCAGAATGCAATTGGGTACACTTTAAAATTGATTTAGCATGACAACATATTGCAATTATAAAAGCAGGACATGATTTTGACATTTAGGATTTTATTATTAGCCATTAACCATTAAATAGTTCAATAAAAGAGAAAACCCGAGCACAGAATTTCATAACTCAAATCGGGTGTCCCTTTCCAGAATAATAACAATCATATTGTAGGAGTAGCATAATTGCCACAAAAAACATATTGTAAGAGAGCCAAAAGCACGCATGAGTCATTATACTAGTATTACCTGGGCACCCTTTTGATGAAAGGAATGATCGGTACATTAACATCAACTGAAAGTATTTGGCCTACTTTATTTACACTCTACTGTGATGGAGCAATAAATCTTGAGAGATGCAAAAAATTAGAAGGTCTAGATCTATACTATCAAAACCAAAAGTGCCTCGAAAAATATCACTTCCGGCACTTCTGCTGTGAAGGACAGCTACGCATATATGTTTCGTTTTACAGTGGAATAACCACAAAGGCCAAAGAAGGGTAGGAACTTTTTTTCGAATATGTTTTTCTAAATTCAGGAAATAGATTTAAAAAAAAAAATTGGGCTCCAACATGGGGACCTATCTATCTTTCTGCAGGTACTTGCCAACTTTCAACTCTGTAGCTGTCGTAGTTTTATTGGAAAAGTGACACATGTGTTTCCAAGTTGCCAAATATATAATAGATGTATAGATTGATTCTCTATTCCGCTTTGGTGGTTGTACACTCCAGAATTTCAAAGGTGCACACGGCTAGAGAACGGAAACCTCACTTGTTTATAATGGAGTCTTAGAAGACGGACTTTCCCAAGATTTGATCAAAACGAAACTAATGAAAAACTGAAAATTAAACACCAGTGACTTAAGGCTCCTCAGTAAAACTCTGCACCCTTTAAATGATTCTGAACCATCATTAATTTTGTCAAATTCGAAAGTTAAGTGCTTCGGAAGTTTTAGGCGGCCAAAGTGACGAACTTTCACAAATATAATATGCATAGACTAGCTGGGTACCCCGTTCGATGAACGGATTCAAAAGAATCGACCGTCAAGCAATTGTTGTACCACACCGCACTGCTTGTGAACGGAAGCCTCACTTTTTCGCAATGACGTGTTAGAAGACGGAATTTCCCAAGATTAGATTTAAACCTCAATGATTCCATCTTCAATAAAACTGTGCACCCTTTAAATGATTCTGAACCACTATTATTTTTTTCCCAATTCGAAAGTTAAGTGGTTAGATAGTTTTAGGCGGCCAAAGTGACGAACTTTCACAAATATAATAATATGTATAGATAGAGATGCCTCAACAGCGAAAACGTTTGGTAGAAACAATCATCATCATCATCAAGTGCCATATCTGCGGCAGACATCAGCGATCATGGTTTTCCATTTACCCTTTTGCTACGTTACCCTGATCTTTCCCCGTTACCCATTTATTTGGGTGCTCTAAATAGGTTGCTCTGGGCCTACCTCTGCCTCCTTTGCTATAAATGTTTTCTGTGAGATATGTTCAAGATCTTTATGTCTATTCAGGTGTCCAAAAAACAGTTGTCATTTCCTGATTGTTTTTATCAGTGAGCGTCCCATGAGGGCTTCATCGAGTACTATCTCATTTGATTTTTTTTTCTTCTACGATATTCTCACCAGTGTCCTAAGAAACCACATATTATGTTGTTTCTATCTTATTTTCACTGTCTTTAGTGATTGTCCAGCATTCACAGCCATATAGAAGGATTGGCCATACATAGCATTTCAGGACTTTCATTTTGATAGTTACTGAGATGTTTCTATCTTCAGATTGGGCTCATTTTTATTGAAATTGGCCTTAGTCAGTTGAATTCTTCGTTTTATTTCTGGGGAACATTATTTTGGTATCAGATGTTATCATATAAGTCCCTATTATTTCTCACCTGGGATATAGGTGGTGGCTCCATGTATTGAAGCGAAACCGAAGCAAAACAAAATAATCACTTGGCCCTCCCACGTTTTCTCCTGTCTCCCAGATCGAAAACTCCTCCAACAATCTCTCATTTTTCAGATATTGTTGTTCACTGTCAGTTGCCTCAGCTTCTACCCACTGCCTTGACCACTGAACCGCGAGCGATGGAAATTGTGTGATGCTCTCTGAGATAGTGACGTGAACACGGGACACGATGAGTAACCCTAGCTCGGATAAAAACTTCTTTGACCCCAGCGCCCCCTAAGCCCGGAAGCTGACGCTCACGCCGTCCGTCCGTCCGCCCCCTCTCATGGATCAGGATCACCCGCACCACTTCAAGTACGCGAGCAAGAGTCAAAATGTTCCATAGTAAGTGTTGCAAGTGTGTTGAAGATGGGCACTGTCGCTTTTCATGAGATCACGAAAATTGTATCAAGTGGAATGGCGTACAGAGCGAGCATGAAAACCTCGGATCACTGTGACGCAGAGAGCAAACAACAATTTACACAAATCCCTGAGAGGTCCTGATGACAGTTTTTGTATGATTATATTTGATATCCGTCTACGTCTTTTATCTAGGAAGAGTTTTACGGTACTTGCAACACAGTAAGGTATGTACCTAAGAATAGTTAGCCCCCCCCCCCTTCCATAAAATGGTGAAAAATTTCATCATGCCCATTGACCTTTGGGGTGTAGCAGTTAGGCGATTTGCCGTCGTACACAGAAGACCACAGCTCGATTCCTAAACGATGACAATTTTCATCGAGTACCTTGGTCTTTTTGTTGGGACGTTGTATCCCTCTAAGTCAGAGTTGATCCGGACAGGCATGATCAAAGCCTGCCCCCTAAATGATCTAATTCTTTGAAAGGGAGCTTAAAACACCTACGTTAAACTGTATACCATTGCGCTCCTGTAGATTCTTTTTATACAAATGCGTAGTACCTTCAATTTCTAGCTTGACGTACTCAGTGTCAACATGTTCAGGTCAGACACCACGAAAAAGTCGGCCACTTAAAGAGAAGCACCATGTTGCCTTACAAATAATGGTGAGTGATACCTCCTCGTGTGACGACACACGTCCTACTGTATTTATGAAATGATTTGAGGGCCCTGGGTTAGTCTGAGAATAAGGAAGAGGATAGAGGGTTCTGGGTTTGGTGGGGAGTGTTATGAGGTTACACCCATTTTTGTCTTGTTATTCGTGCTCTTTTGTTTACTTACGTTTTATTTCCAGTTTATACTATTTGCTGGGTATTAACAGTAACACTATAATACTACGTTGAGCGTTTCTGCACCAGTTGTTGCGGCTAGAAAACATTTCCCTCTGTTGAAGACTTAACACTTGGTCGGTTCACAGACGTTATAAGGTACATCAGCGATTTCGAATCTGTTTTTATGCGTATATGGTATAGCAACTATTTAATCTGTATCGTTTCCCATCCCCTACTGTCGACGATGACTTAACTTTTTAGTTTGTTTTTGTTTTGGTAAGTGTTTTACGGTGCTCGCTACTGCCTAAAGTCATATGAGTGCGTGGGACACTAAACACTTTTAGCTTGGCAGGAATTAGTTTTGAATTTTGCCCGGTGGTGGTGGCCGAAGCCTACTCTTATCGATTTTGGACCACTAAAGGATCTTTAATCTGCACAACTTGCACACGAGACCTCCGAGATTTTTTCGCCTTTATCCGAGAGGGCTAGGGGATAGATCTTTCCTGATCCTGCCTTACGCTCAGGGGTGCGACAGCAGTAAGAAGGAGCCAAGGAGTGGCAGTAGAAAAGCTGCAGAAAGGATCAAGAGCCCAGAGAAGGGGGCAAAAGAGAAGGGGGAGTTGGGGGAGGGCAGAAAGTGGAGACGAAAGCAGTCGAAAGAATATGGTAATATAGCAGGAAAGGGGGTGAAAGGAGAACATTTTAGAGAAGAAAATATTCCTTTGCTGTCAGGTTTCGAACCCGGAACCTATTGAATGAGAAGCGAACATCTCTAGACCACAAGAACCCCCGACCTAACTTAAGTAAAAGACGAAAACACGGATCCGAAACTGTTGATTGTATACAACTTGTTTGATTCTTCTCTTATTTCTAGAAATCTTTTATTGCAGTCACAGTTCATGTGCATTGAGAAAAAAAGTTTCATAAAATTTTCAGAGGAACTGAAAGGCGGCCCTCTTTTCTGGGAAAGTAGTTTTCTCACGGACATATCCCAGTGACAACACTCCTAAAATGTGATGTCATCGACATTGCTTGACATTGTTTTGTAAAGCAGAGCTCAGTAACTACCTCGCCACGAGAAAGACCTTGCTGTCGGAAACAATAAGCTTGAGTTATTATCTGGAATCTTTCAGGACGTAGCGAACACTTGATATTATATTATCCAACCACCAGCTGATCAAAGACAATATTATGGCACAACTAGAACCACCTTTAAACAATCAGAAACACCGAGTTGCATCAAATAGTGTGGATGTCGTTGCCTGTCTTTTATAATTTTGGATGTGAAGATATTAACATTGCCAAAATTGAATGAATAATGAAGTTATGCTTCTGTTTTAAAGTGAATCAAAACAGCCAATCACCAGACGATGCCCATTGACTCGACTGCGTGTCCTCACTATGTTAAAAGAATGATAATAACAACAATAATAATAATAATAATAATAATAATAATAATAATAATAATAATAATAATAATAATAATAATAATACAAAAAATAATAACAATAATAGATAAATAGATAGATAGATAGATAGATAGCATAATTTGTATAGGGCAAATTCCTGCTCAATAGCAAGCTCTTTGCGCTTTACAATCTATACTGCTACCCCAGCAGACCTGAAAGCATTCAGAAATATTTTCAACTTCCTGCGACATTAAAGTAACAGAGGCTCGGAAAAGTTTGTTAATGGCAGCTGATACATCATATGAAATATACACGAAATATACATGAAATATACATAATATGAAAGATAAGTCTTCGACGACAGTTAGGTGATGGGAAACGTTTTAAATATATTACAATTACATAATCCAGGAACTTTGTGTTTATAGCTCCTTGTATGTAACTCGTAAGGGGCCAATCGCCGAGAAACTTAACGGCAAACGGAGCTGTCTTTCTCTCCAGGCATCCGTTTTCACAGAACTTTTAGATTTGAAAGAGTTAATTAGTCTTTCTTCGTCATGCAACTTCACACCCAACACCATCCTGCCCCTTTTTTCACTCTCGCCCCTTTGTGTTTCAATGCAAATTATATATCGCCTCGTCTCAAAAACTCACCTAGTCTGTGCTAGTTTTAGTTTTAGTAAGAGTTTTACGGCACTTGCAGCACAATACGGATATACACATGCCGAAAATTAGAGGTGTTCTTAGAGAGTAAAAAACACAAAAAAGAAGAAAGGGGATAAGGACGACAGAAATTATTTGATAAGAAAGAGTACAAGCCAACCGACTTACACTTACAACCCTCCGAGTCTAAGCGCTGTTTCGCTTTAAATACATAATAAGGACCTTCAATAGAATCTTTGCGACTCTCGTTTGTGTTGTATCCGAGTGCTTACTAATGTCAACTGTGTGTTTACTTACTTTCGTGTTTTTCTCAAGGATCCAGTTTTCAAGCGTGTACAGATGCCCGGAGTGTGCCAAAACAACGCAGTCCTTGTTTTTGCCAAGTGGCTACTTTAAGAGGTCACTCTCGGTAGACAATATGATGATGAGTCACACGCACCCACATACAAACAAGACCTACTACTGTTGTTGTGGGGTTGACAGTGTGGTAGCCTTGTCGTTCGCAGGAAGGTTCAGGATTCAAACACGTGTTGATGTTGATGTGTTGAAAGCGGGAGTATGGGAGGGGAAGGGGAGGGGAGAGGAGGTGGTAGGGGGAGGGGA